TAACTTTTTCATTAGTATTTTTAAAGGATGCCCATTACTTACATAAAGTTTTCTCACTATTTTTAATAACTGCATGGTATTCTACTGCATAGATATTTATATTAATAAAATATAAATATAAATATAAAAGATTGGATATTTTATCCAATCTTTTGCTGTTACCAAAGTACTACATGAATAACCTTAGATCAACATATTTAGCATTTAGTTTTTATTGACTTGCCCACAAGAGATTAACCTTGTAGAGTACCAACTTCTGATTTGAAAATGTTGTTATATATTAGAAGAAAAACGATAGCATCCAATTCAAATTCAGCTATAGTTATAATTTATTAACAATTTTATTTTTTAATTTGATTTCAACCTGACTCAGCTATTCTTCTTTTCATTAATTTGTTCACTTATTCAATAAATATTTATTGAATCCAATATATGCCTGGCAAAATTGTTAAGCACCAAGAACACCAAGGTGAATAAAACAGGATCCCTGGCCTTAAAGCTTAGTCTGGTGGGGTTTAAGTAGCCAAGTAATTACAATATAGTAAACAAGTAACCAAGCAATTATAATACAGTAAAAGAAATGTATCACTATACTTTAATAAGTTTAGTTAATAGGTTAAAAATTCATCTTTCATTCCTATCAGCATAGGAATCTAGAAAATAGTTTGGCAGTTTCTTAAAAAACTAAACACGCACTTACCATATGCCCAAGCAAAATGTACCCTTGGGCACTTATCTCAGAGAAATGAAAACTTATGTTTACACAAACCTGCACATAGCAGTAGTTTTATTCATAATAGTATTTCATAGCAGTAGTTTTATTCATAATAGCCAAAAACTGGAAATAATTGGAATGTCTTTCAATGGCTGAATGGTTGAACAAACTGTGGTATTTCACAAACTGTGAAAAAAGGAACTATTGATACTTGTAACAACTCAGATGGATCTCAAGAGAATTGTGCTGAATGAGGGTGAAAAAGCCAACTCAAAAGGTTATTATATGATATATATTGTATGATTCCATTTATATAGCATTCTTGAAAATATAGAGATGGGCACAGATTAGTGGTTGCCAGGAATTTGGGATATGGTGAGGAGGAGGATCAGTGTGACTGTAAAGGGGTAGCTCTCAGGAGCCTTGCAGTGGTTGCATAAGAATCTGTACATATAATAAAATTGCACAGAAAACACACGCACACACACTAGTGTATGTAAAACTGATGAAATCTGAATAAACTCTCAAGATTGTACCAATGTCAGTTTTCTGGTTTTGATATTGTAATATAGTTATGCAATGGGGGGAAACATGAGACTTCCCTGTATATGTTTTGTAACTTTTTGTTAATCTACAATTATTTTATTTGAAAAACTCCCTTTTAAGCATATTCACTGTAAATTTCTTTTACCTAATAAATCCAAACAACAACCACTACTTAATGTCATTTTGAGTTTAGGAATTCATTTCAGAATTATAAATTGTTTTAGTACCAGCTTATTTGAATACGTTTTTCTGAAAGTATAAAAAAATATATATAATGAATTCTCAAGCTATTCAAAAGACTATTTTGAGCAGTAATAAAACAAGAGGAAACTGTCCAAAAGCAGATATTTTTAAATTAGCTGTGAATAAAAGAAAAGAAAAATATGATAACTCTAAATCAATAGCCATAAGTTCGATGTACTGACAGGCACCCAGACAGCAATCCATTTCTATATGTGTCAATATTTCTATCTCAGTAAATTCTGGCAGACTTCTCCTTCCAAATGACAAGGTGATTTACACCTCCTGTTTAGATTTATAATGAAGCAAGAGAAGAATTGAACTTAGTTCTATTCGATAAACAACCCTTCTTCTCAAAAGCTCAAGATGGTATCTTAACAAGGAAATGGACCAATGACCCCAGATTGTGAAAATGATCCCCTGCCTTTAATACTATTAAATAATGAACTCTTTTCTTCTTCAAGTGCAGGATGTCTACCCACAGACCTCCACAGATGTCATCAGTATTTACCTCCCGTGTCTCAATCAGCCTGAGTCCGTTGTGCAAAAGGAGGTGTTTCTTTCTGTGCTACAAAGAGGAGGATAGGTCCAAAAACAAAAGGATGCACTTTCTTGGTGCTAATAGTCCAAACTCATTACCCAATGCACAAATCTCCTCTCCAACACCTTTGCAGAGAAACCTTTCAGAGAAGTTTCAATACTTCCAGTAGTTGCAACTCATCACTTATCCAGGGGGCCTTTTGCTTTGGCAAAGTGTTAGAGCAATATTCCCAGAATTCCAATTCCAGGAGAGGTTACCAGTGTTGTATTTAAAAATGGAAATACTAGCCATACTTCTCCACTACAGAATTTTCTTTACACAGAAAGGTAAGAAAAATACTGAACACATTTGCAGTTATTTGATGATGCTTCTCTAAGGCCCAGGGTGCCTCCTACCCAAGCCCAAAGAATGTTACTTTGGAGAACACCTAGTGTCTAAATTCAGAAATCCAGCTGCCTCTGACTGGTTCAGTTCCTAACCTGTGGAGCAACAAAAGGCAGGGCAAATGAAGTGACTCTTTTCTTCTTCCTTTAAGTGCAGAAGTGATCTCTGCTTCTCTATATCTACCCCCAAAGTCTCATCATACAGATTTGTTTATTCCAGAAAAGTGAGATGACAATTCCATCTCAATTGTCCTATAATGAGCTCTACACTTCAATAGAGAAAGAATGGTCAGTTTGCATATTTAACAAAAGCCCTCATATCCATAAAATCAATGTAGCATTACATGTTTTTCATTAACTCAGCGTTTACCAACCACCTTCTGTTAGCCAGGTTCAGTGAGAGGTGCTGGGGATACAATTTTTAAAAAGAAAACCTTTATTGTAATAAACTATGTTGTTATAGCAATAGCTAACTTCTATTGATGGCTATTTTCTAGACTTTAGTCTATGTACCATTCGTGGATTATTTCATTTAATCCTTATATCTACCCTGTAAAGTTGGTACTTATTATCTCCCTTTTATGGATAAAACAACAGAGGTTAAGTAATTTACCCAAGGTCAGCAGGTCATGGAGTTTGAAGCTAGAGCCTTGGTAATCTTAAAGATTACCATGTTATTAAGAAGTATACTTTCTAATGAGGTTAGATCTGTAGTGTACTAAGACTTCCCAAATTATTTTATGTATCATATCTTATCTCCCAATTAAAATTTAACCTATTTAGGGCAGAGCTGCTCAAAAGTATTTTTCTGCAATAATAGAAATGCTCTCTTCTGTGCTGTGCAAAGGGTAGTAACTAGCTACGTGTGGCTCTTTGGCACTTAAAATGTGGCTAGTGGACTGAAGAACTACATTTTAAATTGTATTTAATTTAAGTGTGAATGGCCACATGTTGCTAGTGTTGGACAATACAGATCTAGAGGATAAGGGAAATGGTTTTATTTCTTCTGATTTCTCTATAAAGACAAGGCTTAGGTAAATCAGTTAATGTTCAGTTAATAATAAAAACTGGGCAGAAGGATCATTAAGGAGGAAATTCCCTCCCTGCCCCACACCTATGCTGAGAAGAAATATTTATTATATCAAAACTTCCTCTGTATTAAAAGGTTATAATGATACAGTGTGCAGTTCTAGAGTTTATGGAGATAGTGGAGAGGTCTTTAAATTACTTGCAATGTTTTTGAAAGGCTGACAAACATTTCATAATTTATGGTCACTACTTTTAAAATACATACTCAGTTATATCTCTTTAATAAAAAAAATCACTGCTTACTTTGTTTCTTGACAAAACATGGGGTCTATAGAGAGGGGAAAAAAAGGTGGCTCTCGGTGGTGAAAGGAAATTATAACTCAATGGCTACTTCCTGCAGAAACTGCATTCGAAATTTATAAATTTTGTTAAAGAGTAAGCAACTGCCAAATTCTCCTCCTAAGTAACATTATACTGTTATTTATAGATCACACAAATAATCCTGAATTTGGGACAAAATATCATGAAAAATAATAGATATTTTTTGAAAATAAAGTGGGGCTGTAGACCAATCAGAGTCTCAAGAAACAGCCAAGTCATGTGCCCAGGTTTCTTGATTCAGCGCAATGCAGCTCGCACACTGCCCAACACCCAACCTCCAATTTGCTTAAAAGAACTCATTTCAAAACTATCTCAGCTATTTTATTACAATTTGTACTTGCCATGGGACATATTTTTTCTTTTGCCTGATTTTTATTACCCTTAGTTTTCAAAATCATAAAAGTACTCATCAAAAAAGTGTGAAAGCAGCTTAGTATGTCTGGAGACTCAAAAACTTGTTCTTTTGATACAATAAAATCAACTTTTTATATCTCAGGAGCCTAATTCTACCTTGCCAAACGCTAAATTATTTAAAAAATAACACAATGCCTAAACAAAAAAGAGAAAAATCCCTAATTCGTCACATTCAAACCAAAAGGAGGTAAACCTGAGGTCCTAATTTACACGCTCAGTGCAGGTTTGGGCGATTACTCTACGTTTGCAAGAGAGTATAACATGACCACCGGCAACTGAAATGCCAGAGTCGCCACTGTTAAATGCCTCGCGGCGCCTTCCAGAGAGGCTGTTACGGCTTAAGCAGCGTCAACAGCCCAGAAGAGGCCGCAATTTAGTGTGTCTGTGTGGTTGGCCTCTCACGCGTCGTTATCACTGCAAGCTCTTCCTTGAGATTTTTTTTCTGTGTGTAAGGGTGACAGCGCAGCAACACCCTTCTTGTCATCATGCAGTGGTAGTCATGCGACCATGCAGGGAACAGCGCCCAAGTGGGGATGGGACGCGCACAGGCCTGCTGATGCAAACCTTCCCAACCAAGGTTCCCTAGGGTCTTCTGCCAAGAGGCGCCTGGAGGACCCAATTGCTGCGTTCCAATTGCTACGTTCCTTTCGCGCTAACGATTGCAATTTGGCTGCATCCAGGATGTTGCACCGGGGACGGGAGGGGGAGGAGATGGTGAGCCCCTGTACTAAATGCAACGCCGGAAGGGACAGAAGGATGAATTTATTGTGGCCAGCGGTGCCCGAGCTGGAAGGAAAAGCAAGGGGCTTTAAAGCTCAGGGAGACGCTCTAACTCCAGTTCTGCTCTCAAAACCTTATTTCCCACGAAGAGTGGGGGTCAAGGCGGGCCAGCGGTAGGGGATGCAGCCCGGGGCGAGGTAAGCAGATCCTCGCAGGTTCCGCAGCCCGCCGGCCAGCCGCCGGGGCAGCTTCTCGCTGGCGCTGGGGAGGCGCCACAAAGGGCCGAGGCCTGCGGAGGCCGCGCGCGCAGCTCCCCGGGGCGGAGTCGCCGGGCCCGGGTTGGGGCCGGAACTGTGCCCCAGCGACGGAGGGTGCCACAGCCGGGGGCGACCGGGGTGCCCAGCCTCCCAGCTCGGAGGTCG